TGTACATTTTGTTGACCCTATCCAGTATCCATCTCTATAAAGATTTCTCATGAGTACTTGTAGTATGTCTTTCTTGTAAATTATTCTGTGGGCTTCATTGGTCCTTTGCATTAGTTTATCGTCCATTTTGTGGGAGGTCTTGGATCTGAGTTTCTGTTTTCTCTTCATTCCCCCTTCTGGTTCCTGTACTAATGTTGCTTGTTGGGGAAACTGGTTTCCCTGTTTTTTCTGTCTTTCCCGTCATTTGTCCTTGTGTTGTTACTGATACACAAGATACATATTGTATAAGAATATATATATACTACTTGTAATAATTAACAATGGTAATTATTTTAGGAATGAAAGGGTGAGCTGAGATGGAAAGCAGAGTTAAAGAAAAAGGAAAACAAATATACAGACAAGAGGAGAAAGCAGAACAAGGTATCGACAAGAGAGTTTCCAAAGTATAATACAGGAGGTTTAGTGTTACTAATTGACAGTTTAAGCTGAACAGACATTAGAGAGACAGAGAGAGGATTGAAAATCAAAGATTAAAAAATAAAAATTAAGTAAATGAAAGAAATAGCTATATAAAAAATGAATTAAAATAAAATGGAAAATAGAAAATTAAAAAAAAAACCAAAAAACTTCCAAGTTTATATGCAATGCAGTTTCCGTCTTAATTTGGGTGTCCGTCTCAATCTCCAGTCCTGGGGTTGGTGCCTCAGATGTTGTTCTGTAGTTGTCTCATGAAAGGGGATGCATAAAGTAGAACAAAACTACACCCTCACACACACACACACACACACACACACACACACACAAAAGCCCCACCAAGTCTCCCAAGTTCAAATGCAATAAGTTTCAGTAAGTTTTTTGGCTTGCAGGTGTAATTCGGTTGTTCTCTCATCAAAGGTAGGGAGAAAAAGAAAAAAAAGCATCTGGAGACAGTTCCGAGAGTGGTATCTGCAACTGTGGCTTGCGGCCTGCTGCTCTCAGCCTGTAGCTGGCGGCGTTATTTATGCAGATCTCTGGGGTGAGCTAGCACTCACCTGGTCCCACAGGCTTTGTTTGCTCAGAGTTCTCCTGTGTGGGAGTCTCTGCTACAGGCTTTCCCCTTTCCAAGCACTGGGAAAGGTGACACTGCCCCCACGTTGTCAGGCCTGCGTGTTTATTTACAGTTCATGTGGGAGGTGGGTCTTCCCTCTCTCCTCTGAATTTCCCCCACTGCCGCCTTTCAGAAGCTTTCCTGCTCCTGCTTACTGGGCAGTGCTGCTGCTCCTGCTGGCTGCCTTGTTTATACAGTTCACGTGGGAAGTGGGTCTTCCCTCCTCTCCTGTGGAGTTTTTCCTCCCCTCCACCAGCTTCACAAGCTTCCCCGCTCCTGGCTTGCTGGGCGTGCCCCCGCTCCCGCCTAGGCTCTCTGGCCCACCTGGCTTGTTTATTTAAGTCCCGGGAAGGGTTCCCTTCCCCCAATCTTCAGCGCTCAGGGCGCCCCACCTCTTTCCAGCGTGTCTTAACTGTTTCTATTGGCTTATTACTCAGTTCCTCTTTTTTTTCCCAGTGGAGGTCAGTCTGTCCAGGGGCTATGCTGCTCTGGCCCAGGCTTGTCTGTGTGGGGTACCCTAAGGTACCCACGAAGCTCACCTGGTCCACGTCTTCCCCAAGCCGTATGGGCACGGCCACTGGCAGCCCGGGGGCCCTCCTCGTTTCCTCTGTTTAACGTGAAGTGGAGATTCTCTGCGCCAGCTGGAGGTGTGGAGGGGTCAAAGTTATGCCTTTTCTCAGTGATTATGCCTGCAAAGTGTGTCTCCAGCGTCTCTCCAAGATTTTACTATAGGAGGGTCGCTTTCTGCTTCCTACCTCTAGCCGCCATCTTGGAATCCCCTGTTGGAATTGCTTTTTAAAATTAGTCTTATTTTACCATACAGCAATATTTTGCCTGCTACCAAACCTAATACCAAGAAAATAGAACAAAAAATAATTACTTCTAATTCTTTCTGGAAACTTTGGTCCTCATCTTTGAAAGAATTCTTCCTGAAGATTTCTATGGCCTCTCTCTCACAGGCCTTTGCAGGTCCAGCAGCTCTGGAGGGTTTCTGTGGTAACTGCACCTTCTGATCCATCTTCTGCTCATAGTGGTCCATGGCCTTTTGCACTGCAACTGTGTTCTCTACCTGTACCAAGGCCTGGACTGCATTCTCCATGCAGGGCAGATCCCCACTGTTGATGGCATTGATGTAGGTTAGCACCAGGTTCTCCAGACCTATATAAAGAGAAGGCATGCTTTTGTTATTTGCAGAGAAAGAGTCAGTGATGTATACTTCTGAGAATATTAACAATGCATTGCTGAAACTTTTCAGTATTCTGGGTAGTATTCAAATTGCAAGATAAGTTTCATTGTGATAATATTTGATTAAATAGTCATGTCTTTCCTTCTTTGGGAGAAGAGACAGTGCTCAAAGAAGAACAAAGGGGAAATCTCAAGATGTATGAGATTGCCCACACTTCACCCTTCTCCATGGAGAACTAAGGAGGTGATTACAAAAGTCATGCATATATAAACTAACAGAAGCAAAAACAAAAACCACATGATCATCTCAAAAGATGCAGAAAAAGACTTTGATAAATTTCAACATACTTTCACAATAAAAGCTCTGATGAAACTAAGAATAGAAAGAATGTACTTCAAGAATAAAGGCTATATAAGACAAGCCTATATCCAACAGCATAGAAATGGGGAAAAAACTGACAACATTCCCTTTAATTTCAGGAATAAGACAAGGGTGTTCACTCTCTCCTGTTATTCAACATAGTACTGGAATTCCTAGCCAGAGAAATAAGACAGGAAGAAGAAATTCAAATTGAAAAGGAAGTAGTCAAAGTATCCCTATCTGCAAACAACATGATCTTATACCTAAAATATCCAAAAAACTCCAAGACACCATAAACAGTTTCACCAAAGTTGCAGGATACAAAATTAATCTACAAAAATCAGTAGCCTATCTATATACCAATAATGAACAGACTGAGAAAGAATATAGGAAAATCATTCCATTTACAATAGCCTCAAAAAAATAAAATACCTTGGGATAAATTTAACAAAAGATGTGAAAGATCTTTAGGCATAGGCAATGACTTCCTCAATAGCACTCAAATGGCTCAGCAACTAAGAAAGAGAATTGACAAATGGGACTACATGAAATTACAAAGCTTCTGCACAAAAAAGAAATGATTTCTAAATTGAAGAGGCTTCCCACAGAATGGGAGAACATCTTTGCCAGCTATACATCAGACAAGGGTTTGATAACCAGAATATACAGGTAGTTCAAAAAACTAAACTCCCCAAAATTCAATGACCCAGTGAAGAAATGGGCAAAAGAACTGAACGGAGCTTTCTCAAAGGAAGAAGCCCAAATGGCTGAAAAACATGAAAACATACTCAATATCCTTGGCCATAAAGACAAACAAATCAAAACCATGTTATGATTCTGCTTCACTCCTGCTAGAATGGCTACTATCAAGAACAGAAACAATAGAAATGTTGGCAAGGATGTGGAGAAAAAGAATCCTCATACACTGCTGGTAGAAAAGTAAATTAGTACAAAACAGTATGAAGGGTCCTCAAAAAAACTAAAAGCATTACCACCATAAGATCTAGCAATTTCACTCTTAGTGAAATTATATATCTGAAGGAATGTAAGTCAGGTTACAACAAAGGTACCTGCACAGCTATGTTTATTGAAGCATTATTCACAATAGCTGAGCTATGGAAACAGCCAAAATGCCCCACTACTGAAGAATGGATTAAGAAAATATGGTACTTACACACAATGGAATTTTATTCACCCACAAAGAAGAATGAAATTTTTTCATTTGCAGATAAATGGATGGACTGGAGAACATCATCTTAAGTGAAGTTAGCCAGGCTCAGAAAGCCAAAAGCTGCATGTTTTCTCTTATATGCAGAATATAGACCTAATACAAATGTAGTAATATTATGAAAACAGAACAGGCTAAGGGAGGTCACAAACGAGATGGGGAGGGTAAAAGAAGAAAGTTAAGGTGAATATGGGTGATGTAGTCTAGATACAAGAAAGAATATAGAATTTTTACACTGGTTGAAACACCCATAAGAAAGGGATTAGAGTAGAAAGAAGAAAAATAGAGGAAATGAACCAAATCAGGTTATAATACATATATAGATCAAAGTGCCACAAGGAAACTCCCTGTGTAGCTATCTTAAACAAGCAAAAGCATGATTTTTTTTGCAAAATCAGAGAAAAAGAAGGTGGAACAGGTCCTCCCTTGGGTGGGGGGGATAATTACCAGTGAGAGTGGGAAGGACGACATGGGGAAAGGGTTTAAGAGGGTGGATATAGGGAAATACTGTGTAAACATGAATGTAAATGGAAAAAAACATCCCTGTTGAAACTATTTCTTGAATGGGAGTGGATAAAGGAGAATGGTGGAGGTGGTAAATTCAAGTATGATATAGTTAAGAACCTTTGTAAATGCCACAATGTACCCTTACTTAGCACAACATAAAGCAGAATAATAAAACATGTATATTCATTTGTTCAGAAGGCTAAAGGCCTTTGCCTCTTTAATCTTCCCTTCTTTCCCTCTTTCTCAGCTTTTCATTTTCTTCAGAATTTCCCTTTCTCCCTATTTTATTCTGGTGAGGGTGGTATGAAATGTATTCTGTCCTGTAAAAGGGAAAATTGAAGAGTTTAGTCAAGTATCCTCATTATTTGTTGGAACTCCCCTGTTTTACTTATCAGTTTACAGAGAGGGAGGCAAATTCCCTCTAGAATAGAAGAATTATTTACTGAGTTCTGAGATACAAAGGGTTTTCAGGAAAAAATAAAGCAAGAAATTTGCTTACACATCTTGTAGATTCTAGACAATTTGGGTCTTAGTTCAATATTTATATTAATCAATTTCTATTTCTAAAGGGAACTTGTGTGCTTTGCTTACCTTAAGTCTGTGACATATAATAAGAATTTACTATATTTGTTGAACAAATTTTTCAACTTGTGTGGATCACTTATGGATAAAACTTCTTTAACTTGATCTTACTTTTATTTTGGTCCTTTGAAGGCATTACTAAAAGCAACACTACAAATATATTTAATATCCACTATAACTTTATAAACCTGGTACCTATGATTTACATGGTGGTAATTCCTTATGCATTCATCAACACTGCTATAACAAGGAGATTCCTGTTTCTCTCTTTCTTTACATTCAGCTGGAAGAAAATTCTTGAAAGGAACTCATGAGGGCCATTGACTTTGATGTCTCCTGGAAGAGTCTTGGTCTTGGAATGACTGAAGATGTAGGAACAGAACTCTGACACTTGCTGCACAAATTCAGGATCCAGCTCATCATCATACAGTGTTTCAAGCTGGGCAAGCTTCTTCCAGTGAGTGGGTGAATCAAAGATAAAGCATTTCTTTACTGGAAAGAATTTCTGTATACACAGACAGGGCAAGTTGAAATTTTGAATTTTTTTTTATTTTTACCTGGAAAAGGAAAAATAGGATTTACTTAGTATAGAATTTACATTCACTTTAATCTATTGACATTAAATAAATTTCCTTTCTCCTGATGTTACTTAGTTTATTGTGTTTATAAGCCTCAGAGAAAGGAAAAAAGGAAAGAAATTTACTTCAAGAACAGAGGAATAGTACAATTTAATATTGAATTTATTAGTTCATTCTAAATTGATAATATTATTTACTTTATAGGAGATCTGGATGGGTAAATATGGAAAATGATACATTTAGCTGCCTACTTAAATGAGGTCATTTCTTGGGTCACTTTTCTCTCTCTTTCCAAAACTGAAGAGCTATTACCTGGTTTCAGCCTCAGTGAATTCTCCAGGTATTCGTCTGCTGTGATGAGCTGTCCATCTGTTTCCAGGCCTAGGTAGAAATCTCGCAGAGTCCATACTAGGTCTGGAAAGAAGCTTGCAAAGTCAGCATCATCTTCAATCCCATCAAAGTCAGGGGAGTTTCTTGTCCCGAGCAGATCTGTCAGCTCTGTCATGTTGCTAAGATGTAATTGAGGAAAACTGGAAGAAGTAGAACTGCATCTTACCCATGTTGTACTCCAGGTTTCCCTAAACTTTTACTTCCCTGTACCACTTAGCCAACTCAACATTTTCTCATCAGCACATGAGGGCTAATGTGTACTCCCTCCATTTTCATTTATATAATTCACAGTCTACAGATGTACTGCTAGTGAGTTTTCTCTAGCTTTGATGCCATTCTGGACCACAGAAGGATACTGCAGAAGGTAAATAGCTCCCTGTTCAATTTTGTTCATGGTGTTGTAAACAAAAGTGCTGCTCAGAAGGATTGCCAGTGCGAAGATTTTGGTGTCATTCTTCTCATCAACCTAGGAGCCAGAAGATAAGTCATGTTCCAAGGCATTCCCAGTGAACAATAATTAAAAATAGGATCTTGACTTACAAGTCTGAAATAACAAAAATGACCATATGGATCTTCCTTCCTTCCTTCCTTTTTTTTTTCTCTCTCTCTGTCTCTCTCTTTCTCACTTTCTCTCTCTTACTCATCCTTTTTTTGGTGATACTGGGGTTTAACTCAGGCCATGGTGTTTGCTGGGCAACTCTGCTGCTACTTAAGCAACACCTCCAGCCCTTCCTGTAGGATATTTTTCAGATGCAGATTTATACCTTTTTGCCTGGGTCTGCCTTGGACTGCAATGTTTCTATATATGCTTCGCTTATAACTAGGATTACAGGTATGCACCACCATGTCTGGCTTATTAGGTGAGATGTGTTCTCACTAACTTTTTGCCCAGATTGGCTTTGAACCTCAACTCTCCTGATCTCTACCTCCTGAGTAGCTGGTATTATAGGCATGGGCCACCTTGCCTGTCCATACAGACCAACTTTGTATAGTTTGCTAATTGTAATTTTATAGTGATCCATACATTGTTCACACTCTTGTCTCTCTTACAACTATTGTTAGATATTTGCAACATGCATAGTCAAACTAATGGAGAAACTGGAATACCTTAAAAAAAAGTTTTCCAGGGACTAAAACAAAATTGGCCTAAATACTCAATACATATGTCTATTTTATTGAATAATTATTGTTGGAGCCAGGAGTGGGACCCTGCCTGTTTGAGTTGGCATTTGGCCTTGTGAGAAAACTCCAAGGAACTGAGGCAAAGGCCTCAGAACCAGACTGTGCCTGTGTGATTTGGCATCTGGCCTTGTGATTTTGGATTATAAAGATGTGAGAACCTTGCAGTGACAATAATTAGCTAGAAAGACAAAGATGAGCCAAATCTATAAGCAGATATGGGGGTCTTATAAAGTGTTTTGCCTTGATGTCACTATTGGGGAGGGAACTAATTTGTCTTCAGTTTTTTAAATTCATCTCAATAACATTAGCATTATGTATCCATATTAATAATAATATTTTACACATCACCACATGGTTCTGGAGAGCATCTTTAATGCTTTTAGAAGTGCCAACCCTGCTTTGCATACTAATGTGTTTGAGTCACATACATACTCTTATTCTGCCATTCGTAACTCAATCTGTGATACACATTCAGGCTGCATCTTCTGTAACTCAGAGCCCTATAACTTTTGTAAGTAAAAAATAATGCAAGTATGGAACAAAACCCATATGAAAATGCACACTTGTCCTTGTGGTAAGCTAGGCTTGATTTCCAATCCCAGCCCTGCAACTAGCTAACTGTATATTATTGGCATTTCATTCAACATTTCAGTCTAGTCTTGAAAAATGGAAGTAAATAAATATGTATTTATATCAGTGTACCTGCTGGCTTAGAAGATTAGGGCTTCAGGAGAAAAGTACAAAGAAGAAAGCTGATAAGAAACGTAAGAGAAAATGCTCAGAAGTGTAGTTACGGAGTTTTTTGGAAAAAAAAATCTCTTTTCAACCACATGAGTTTAGCTTAGGTTTTATGTTCTGTTGTTGTTATTTGCTTTTGCTTTCTTTTGTGTAGCTTTGTGTTTGAGTTTGGAGGAAAAGGAAAAGGTGTTTATCAAGGAGATTGATGGAAATCTATTAAGTATGAGGAGCATGAAGCATTTGCCATGGTAAATTACAATAACTGACCATATTTAACCCAGGAGAGACAGAGGAGTAGTAGAGAACAAATTCAACAGAAAAGGGTTAACAAGTGAGTGAATGCCAGGAAGGAAAAAACCAAAGACTTTCTAAAGGAAGAGGACCACCTTCAAGGAACTACCTATGGCTTAAACTATGTTACTTTTTCTGTGAAACTTCTTCATTGTTTACTCTGAGTTTCAACTTTTTCTGTTTCCTTTTGCTTTGTCTTTAACAATGTCAGCAAGCTGGTTATACTACAACTCATTCATTGTTCTTTCTCATGAACATAAAACAATCATGGCTCTGAACTTTCAGGCTGCAGTTTGAAGCAGCTTAATGAGGTTTTTATCACAGACAAAGGTAAATGCCAGTTATGAATCCCACAGGTCATACAATGGCAATGGGAAAAACAGATTTAAGACACTTAAGATTCTCATTTTATTCCCAGCCCATGCTTGTGTCTAAATTGGCAAGAGGCAAAAGCAGCCAGCACTTAAACTCTGCTGCAGGTCTGATTAACACACAGTTGGGAATCCTAGCTCTGATACAGCTCAGCAGGTTAAGCTCCATTCTATCCTGATTGAATCTTTTTAAAACTAACTGAATCTCAAAATCTTTGCCTACCCTTGCCACATCTTACCTTAACAACAAGATCAAGCTCAGAGATCTTTTAAAAGCTTGTAGAAAGCTGTTTGAAGAGGGCTTTGTAAGAATTCTAGCAGTTGTACCTTAGTTCAGCTGTGATGGGTTCTGATATGAATCTTCATCCAATCCTAAGGACTTCCTTTCTCCCTTCCATGCCCTTCACCCCCTTGCAGATAACTTGATCAGTAAATACAAGCAAGCCAGAATCAAGGGGTTTTCTAAAAGTTCACACAGTAAACTGAAAGTAAGAAGCAAATTCAGCAAACAGGTAGTTATTAAGGGGATTTCCTGAGTGTTGCCTGGTTGGATGCATTTGGCCTGATTTTCCAGAACTGCATGTTGTTACTGAAAGAGAGCTTTGACATCTTTTGCAATGTTGCCAAGTGCCTGTTAGTTTTCTTCCATTTGGAAGCACACACGCTTTGAGTGAACACCTCACATACTTTTGAGGACTAATTTTCTGAAAGGTCACAATGTGTTCACAGAGAAAGGCTATCTCATCTGTCTTCCTGTTTGAGATGTTAACAATGAATATCATTACCTATGGTAAAACATTTATTGTTCTAAACCACTATATTTGAGGATAATTTTTAAAGTGCAGTATATAACCAGAACATTAGTGGTTGTAATTTATCCTGATTGCAATGAAAAACTACAGTTACTTTGGCATTGTGGAGGAATGGAGGTGCATAGTGGATGCCCAGGGAATTACTTGTGGTCCATGTTCAGCTAAAACAGCAACAACCTCAGTTAAACAAAATCAACAGTCCTCAAAAGGTTCCCGTGGAACTGAATATCTGTGTCACAGCAGTGTCCCACTGATACCCAATTCTCTTATCAACTGTCTTTCTTTTCCTATTAACTCTATCCCACATGCCTGCACTCTGTGACCATGTTCTCAAGTAGACCTGCAAACAACCCTTCTTTTCAGGAGTTACAATTTATTTTTCTGTTATTCATATCAGAATACATTTCATTGTTCTAGAAACATATAATTTTAAAATGTTTGTTTCCTCTTTGCATTATCTTGACACTTTTATGAAAGACATTATATGTTTGGATCTACACATGATTTATATTGCAATGAAACATGTCTGTGATTCCAAAAATATCACATTATTTTGGTTACAGATGTTTCAGATTAAATCATATGTATGATATGCACAAGATTATATATATATATATATATATATATATATATATATATATATGTATGCATTGGTCTATACAATATTGGCATATACAATATATATATATATTGGTCTTTTATGCCTTGTCCTTGCTACATTGTCTTCGAAGACCCAGTGTTTTAAATCCTAGCTACATGGGAGGCAGAAATGGGTGGATTGAAGTTCAATGCTATCACAGACAACATCAGTGAGACTCAGAAAATATGCTGTGCATGGTCTCACATGCCTACAACTCAGCCATGGGGGTGGCACAAATAGAAGAACTGAAGTCCAGGCCATCCCTAGGCAAAAAGAAAGAAGACTGCAGCTAAAAATTAAACTAAAGCGAAATGGCTAGAGGTTTGGCTCAACTGATGAAGTGGTTGCCTATCAAGTGCAAGGGCCTGAGTTCAAACCCCAATATTACCAAAAAATTTTAATGCAAAAACTAGTTTTTGTATAATGCAGTTATTTATTTATTTTGATGGGACTGGGATTTAAACTGAGGGCTTCACACTTGTAAAACAATTGCTGTAACACTTGAGCCATGCCTTCAGTCCACTTTACTAGTGTTATTTGGGAAATGGGGACTTGTGAACTATTTGCTGGCCTTGAACTGCAATCCTCCTCCTCTCAGCCTCCAATGTAGCTAAATTACAGGTGTGAATCACTGATGCCTGGCTATAATGAAGATAGTTTTAAATATTGAAAGCATGAGTTACTCAAATACATGCAGAATGACAATAAATCATCAGGAGATTTTCAGTGTGGAATTTCAGAACAAATGCTTGATCACTTGCCCTACTGGTTGTAATGTCAATTACTTATACTTTGTGCATCATACTAGCTCATGCTCCAATATTGCTTTCCAAGAAAATTGTTGGCATTTTTCATGCCTCTTCTGGAAATAATAGATCTGCTAATGAGAATGCACACAGGCTTTCAGTCTCATACTTTGCTTTCATCGAGGCAGAAAGACAGGCAGGATAGTGGGAAGCAGTATAGAGAATGAAGGGAATGATTCCAGCTCTGTTCTGATTATAAGTTATATTGTTGGAGAAAATGCATATTTGGCTTTTTCCACTTTAATCTGAATTGAAAAAAGTGGCAAAATATAGGGAATTAGGATTTTGTTTACCAAGTCTTCATTGTTCTGGAAACTTCATTGCAAAGGAGCCAGCTTTGTAGCCTGGTTCTGTGATATTTTGGTTGAATCTAGCCCTTGTCTATTTGTACATTAAGTCTTTCACTGGCATGAATACATCTTCTAACATCTAGTTTAATTTCTCCTTTCTTATTTTCCCCAGTCCAGGATTTTATTTCCTTCCTTCAACCAAAAAAAAAAGTACTTATGGAGCACATGATACAGAGAGTTGCTGAGCAAGATGGTGGCAACATCCAGATGGACCTCACTTCACAGAGCTTTGTGTGATGAGTGCACAAGATGTTTTTATTACAGGGAAAGAAGTGTATGGATCTTATGTCACAGCTGGAGGCTAAAGATACAACGCAATTGGCCAAGTTGAAGGGCATTGGGCTTGCACAAAAGGGGCTCCCTCCTTACTTATGGCAACCAATTGAAGATGTTTGCATTGCAGTCAATGTCAAATGGTCAGATGTTGGTAATATTTGGAGAACTGCTATCTACAACAGATGTAAACCTCAGAGAAAGCTACACATCAGGCTTGTGTGGCTAGATATAGCTCACTGCATTGAGGAGTGACTGATAGTCACTATGCATAATCAGCTCCCTGTCTCAAATACAAGCAGCAGAGTTCAAACCTTGGATAGGACCTGTAAAACAGGCAAAAGTGTATTTCCTTTCATAACATTCAAAGGGTGCATCCACAGTGTCCTCCCTGGATTTTCAGCACTAGGGATGCTAAGATGGATTTTATCCATATTTCCCCTATGTGGAGGTGCCTTCAAACTCTGGCAGACCTTGGAGATGATAGTCCAGAAGTGAAGCAACGATGTCTGGCCAAGCCAAGTAGACTTGCACTGCTACAAGATCTGCATGGGGGAACTGACCAGGCACTGAACTGTGAAGAGAGGTCCACCTTTCAGGGACTGACTCCATATTGTGACCCTTGAGTTCTGTAAGTTTGCTTTTGCCAACCTGGTCAACACTATAAAGTGCTTAAAATCTTAGGATGTGGATAGAGTAGTTATATATTTAGTTATTTTTATTTTAATACTTTTGGGGGGTTTTGCACTATAAAATGATTCTTTTACTATATCTAGAAGAACATTTTTCAAAAATTAGCAGAGGTATTAGAAAAATCTCATTTCTGAACAAAAATATATCAGTTTAAATCATAAATTGCAAGTGTCTTCAACTATGACAATACTTTAAAGCTAAATAGAATAAAAATAGTTTAGTTGACATCCAAGAGCAAGGACATTTGTCACAGTTATGTATCTTTGATTACTAAATGAGATTATTCTTTTTAGGAAGTGAAAATATTTGCTAGCTAGACTTAATGGATAATTTAGCATTAAGTGCTGAAATTTGAGTATGTACTAAGATTTGACTCAGTATGTGTTTCTGATGGCTTCATATGTGGGTTCTGCAAAACATTTGTTTTTATGGGGCAGAAGGATGATAAATGATATGGATGGAATTTTATTCTCTGAAAAAAGCAATAGAAAAGAGAGAAATAATTGACTATTTAATTTTGGAACTGGGGTTTGAACTCAGGGTTTCACATTTGTTAGGCAGTCACTTTACCACTTGAGCCATACTTCCATCCTTTTTAGTTTTAATCATTTTTCTATATGGTCTCATGCTTTTTTCCCATACTGACCTCATACTGCAAGCCTTCTATCTATACCTCCCACCTAACTGGTATTACAAGTGTGAACCACCATAACTCACTGTTCTTTGAGATGGGTACACACTAGCTTTATGCCCAGGCTGACTTCAAACCATCATCTTCTCATGTCTGCCTCTTAAATAGTTGGGATTAGAGGTGTGAGTCACTATGCCTGGCACCAGTGTTTTCTTTATTTTTAACTTATCTGTTGAAAACACCACAGGGAAACAGAAAAATGATAACAAAATCATCACAACCACCAACAAAATACTGGGCAGATACTAAAAAGATTTAAGTCAATACGTTTTGAAATTTCAGCTCAGTAACAACAAGTTCTAGGGAAGCAATATATATTTTCATTCTATACTGTCAGAAGCTTTACTTTGTACATATGTAACTTTCATAATTAAAAAAAATTAGGAACAAAGAAATTAGGTTTAAGAAGTAGTATAGGCTAATTCTACTGTTACGCTCAGTATTTCCTCCTTAACACATTCATATGTGCATGAATATTTTGTAGGAATATAAACATACATGACTATGTACATAGATATGGATGAATAGGTAGCTGTGCATAATTGTACATTACAAAGGTCTGAGAAAATTTACAATAAATTATTCACCACAGTAACATAGGCAGTGCATAAGCATGGGTGGGGATTGAGGGGCTTGGGAATGGTTGTTTTGGTCCTTTTTAACTAATTATCTTTGTGGTACAGGGCTTTAAATTCAGGGCTTTATACTTGCTAAGCATGATCTTTATCACTGGACACATGCCACAAGCCCTTTAAGCTTTATGTTGTTTTTCTGATATGGTCTCATACAGATATCCCTCACACACTCACAAAACGCTGAAATTAGGGATCTACTAATTGTTATCTTGGGTGTGAATTGCTTCCACTCTATCGAGTTAATTACAACGGTGAGCAAGACAAGAAGTCATTGAACATCACATAGCTTTTTTCATTGCATCTGTCACCACCATATTAATGATAGATTTTGATTTGAGGAGACTTCTACTGGCTTACGCAGCAGGTATCCTCAGTGAGTGTGAGAAATTTGGGAGTATGAGAAGGCATGAGAAAAAGCCAAGAACTTAATACGTGAAGATACAACAAATATTAAAAGCAAAGACAAATGAAGACACACTCACACAAAGGCAGACAGACAGGCACACAAGCACATACACGAACACACGCAAACATACACACGCGCACGCGCGCGCGTACACACACACACACACACACACACACACACACACAAACACGGGCACGAACACGCACGCACACAAAAACTCAGGAACCCTGCCTGTATTCAAGGCATGACGAATCTAACCTGCAATGGCTGAAATCCCGGCCTGAAGCTATGAGGGGACACTTTCAGCTCTCAAGAAATATCAAGCTTAGAAGAACATGCAAAGTGACACAAAAGTTCGTGGACAGAAGACATACATACTACCACCTTCAGGCCAATGAAAAACTAAAGCCTAACCTAGAATCAAGGCCTCAATCCATCACCTGAATTCCAATCATTGTGTCGGGCCGATGATGCACGGACACACATGCATCACGGTAGCCTGATATACACGGGCCATATTCAATGAACGCTGACTATTTCCTCCTCAACAATTGATTACACTTGAGCGAGGAATGGCATTGCGGAGAACAACCCAAAGTTCCTGACTTTCACGACGAATGCCTGACTGCCATCCTTTGGAGCAGACTATCTAAAGGACACTGCTCCAGGAAATATGTTAAAACACATGCGCCCCCACTCGTAAACACACCCACAGGGTGGCTGTGATGAAGGAATATGAACTATTTTAGGGTAAGTGAATTTCTGGGCTTTCATTTGCGAAAAGTACCTTTCAGCAGAACCCGTACTTAGGAATCCCCGGAAACACCGGTGAATGAAGTTCATTTCTTCAAACCGTCACTGCCCGTGCTTTAGTGGGCCCTGCAGACAAGAGAAGAAATTACGTCAGATCAACAGGTACTGTGCCGAGCCTCCAGGAAATGTTTTTCCTCTCTAGCCAGGCCACTGGAACCACACCTGGCATCACGTGGTCAGGATTAGAGGCAAACACCAAGGCTGCCTACGCACCACAGCCAGGTCCAGGCAGCCTGTTCTGCTTGGTGAGTTCCATGCCCAAATGACACAGAGGCCTGTTGGACGCTAAAAGCTCTGTGCCATGGGAGCTTAGGCTAGCTGCGAAGGACGGATCCACGCAACCCTGGTGTGCTCAGGTCACCCGTGGGCCCCTGCCCATACGTGCCCTGCGTCCCTAGGACCCAATTAAAAGACACATCTTCCAACCAAGACAGGGCCACCTCCCTCCAGTTTCTTCTGCTTGGCTGGCCGCACTGCCATAGCAACAGGCCAGGCAGGAGCTGCCTCAGCACTCTCCACGTTCCAGGGGCTAGGATCCCACTGTGACCTCACATCCAAGTCTCTCATGATTGGTCAGACCACTTAAGCACTGCCTCTACGGCCCCTCCCCCTCTAGTCTCCAGTCACTTGTGTGGCAGACTCCTGACAAGAGCTTCTGAATTGGGGATTGCTTTTCTGCTCCATGTTCCCTCCTCAGCTCATTCAAGCTTGAAGTGGCATGACATTCCTCTCATGTTCCAAAGGACTCCCAACCTGGAACCCACAATCTGGAGGAGAGGAAGGCTTTCAAGTGGTGAGTACAAAAAAAACCTCAAGCCCTTTGCGGTTAAATCAGCCAGGAACACTCCCTACACCTTGGATGGGACAACTTCCTTCTCTGAACTACATCTCCCATCAAACGGGAGAGGACTCCAAATGTCACACTGTGAGAACCAGGGGCTGTTTTCCGGGCCTCTGTGTTCCTAACCTCAACAAAACACGCAAATGCACACACTGACTGCCAGGAGCCTCAAGGGGACCACACGAACTCACTTCCTCTAGACACAGAAATTCCTCCACTTTCATCTGAGGAGCAAACACGCACACACACTCTACAGCCTAGGACTGCTTAGGATTGTCTAGACAGTGAAATTGATACCACCTCTCAGGAGAACGGCAGGTTTCGGGAACACGACAAACCATGGAATAGCATGAAACTCTGAGGAAGGTCATTCAATTCTGAAAAGGTTCTCTGAGGGACATCACAGTACACCTTTCATTCGTGGAACTGAAGACATAAGGTCAACGCCACACAAGGCTGCTCCTCAAGAGACTTCGGGAATGAGACCAATTTCCAAAAACCAGTGAAAGCAAAAGGAACAACAGATATCCCACACACACTCACAAAACGCTGAAATTAGGGATCTACTAATTGTTATCTTGGGTGTGAATTGCTTCCACTCTATTGAGTTAATTACAACGGTGAGCAAGACAAGAAGTCATTGAACATCACATAGCTTTTTTCATTGCATCTGTCGCCACCATATTAATGATAGATTTTGATTCGAGGAGACTTCTACTGGCTTACGCAGCAGGTATCCTCAGTGAGTGTGAGAAATTTGGGAGTATGAGAAGGCATGAGAAAAAGCCAAGAACTTAATACGTGAAGATACAACAAATATTAAAAGCAAAGACAAATGAAGACACACTCACACAAAGGCAGACAGACAGGCACACAAGCACATACACGAACACACGCAACACACACACACGCGCACGCGCGCGCGTACACACACACACACACACACACACAAACACGGGCACGAACACGCACGCACACAAAAACCCAGGAACCCTGCCTGTATTCAAGGCATGACGAATCTAACCTGCAATGGCTGAAATCCCGGCCTGAAGCTATGAGGGGACACTTTCAGCTCTCAAGAAATATCAAGCTTAGAAGAACATGCAAAGTGACACAAAAGTTCGTGGACAGAAGACATACTACCACCTTCAGGCCAATGAAAAACTAAAGCCTAACCTAGAATCAAGGCCTCAATCCATCACCTGAATTCCAATCATTGTGTTGGGCCGATGATGCACGGACACACATGCATCACGGTAGTCTGATATACACGGGCCATATGCAGGGCTCGGCCTGACGTAACTCCAGCCTGAATGCCGCAGACAGCTGCTCCTCCCGCTTGAATCATGCGGCAAGCATCCTGAGGCACTCCCGCCTGACCCCCGCGCGCGCATCCGGATGCACCTCCCACCTGACCTCCACCGCGGGCATCCGGACGCACCTCCCGTCTGACCCCACAGCCCAGTGCACCGCTCGTCTGACCCCACTGCCCACAACCCGATGCACCTCAGCCTGACCCCCGCCGCGCCCATCCCAAAGCACCTCCCGCCTGATCTACACCTCACGCAGCCAGACACTCCTCCTGCCTAACCCACACAGCCTGCAGCCCAACGCACCTCCCACCTGACCCAGCCGCCCGCTGACCCTGGCAACCCTACGCACGGCATGCCTGACCCCCGCTGTCCACAGCCCGACTCACTGCAAGCCCGATCCCCGCCACCCGCAACACGACGCACCTCCCGCCTGACCCCCGCCGCCCGCAGCCAGACCCACTACCTGACTCCCCCCGCCATGCCCGCAGCCCGACACATCTCCTGCCTGACCCCGCGACCTGACTCAATGTCCTGCCTGACCCCCCCCCCACACACACACACGGCTCCTATCTCCCCCTTCCTGCCCCGTCCTCACCGCCCGGGTCAGGGGGACGCTCCTCTGATAGGAGGAGGGACCTGCCACGGCCAAGCCCTGCTCCAGAGTGCCGCCGTCCCACGCTGATCACCTTCGCCACTTTCGAGTCTGCCCCAGCTGGCTTGTGGGGCGAGCGCTGCCTGGCTGTAGGGCCGACACAGCTAGCCAAGGCCTGCCAGTGGGCGTGGAGTCCGTGCAGAGGCCCTGCCCTTCTTGAGTTTCCGGCGTAGGCGACTGCCCCAGCGCGCCCCTGCCGGCCCCTGCCAGCAACCATGCTGCAGTTGCTTTGCAGTGGACAAAGTTCAGTGTTTACTTATCCCGTTCTCTAGTGCACTTTATGCCCCTGCCCGAGCAGGGATGCTGGCAGCAGCCTGAGACTCCAGCACTGGGGCCCTGCTTGCCCCCAGCGCCCGGTTCCGCGCATGCAGGAGGCGGAGAGAGTGGACCCTCAGCTGGCCCTAGCCCTGTACCATGGCCACATCCCCAGGAACCCAGGGGCTCATCCCTTGAAGACTCCACCTCACTGGTCTGTCTGCAAGTCCTCCAAAGACGTCATCCTTCTCCAAAGCAACTTGATTTGCTGCTTGTGCAATAAGCCACAGTATTTCTTGCTGTCCCCTCCTGAGTAGCTGTGATTATAGGAATGAAGAACCAGAGTTGGCTCTTCCACTTTTAGTTGTCTCTTTGTGATAAACAAGCCTATTTCTCCTGTTACTAATATTTAGAAACGTGTGTGTTGCAAAAATATTATTTAATATTTTTAAATGAAATGGAAGGGTGGAATACTACAATTCAACTAGCAGAAGAGAACTTTTTGCACAGGTAAGGTTTGACCTGCATGAATTTAATCGCTATTTCTTTATATTGTTAGCCATTTTATATATTCACTTCACTTATTTGAAATTATCAAAGTAATGTTGCTATTAGCAAGTTCACACATTGCAAGTACAGCTGAATGCCCTCTCAAGTCTGACTCTCTTTAACCCAGACCCATAGAAAAAGAATTCAGTGCATTTGCATGTGTGTATTTTAAGCTAGTAAATGTGTTTATTTTCTCTTTGACACAACCTCCTATGGTCATGTAGACTTTCCCTCCTTTGTCATGACTGTTGTATGATTTTTGAAAATGGCTGTCCACAGTGCAGTTGGTCCTGTCCCACTGATGACTGCTTCCAGCTTTTCATGATTGCAGATGATCCTTGAGGATGTCTCTTGTATATGCTCAAGTGTTTCCCGGGGTTTGTGGCAAAAAGAGGAGTTGCGGGATATTAAAGTTACATACATTTAAATTTTAATAGATGCTTCTGAGTTGCTTATACTTATTTTAACTGTGAATGCTAGTGTCTTTCAAAGACATAAGGGGAAGATATACATATGACAGGCATAAGAATAATTATGCATGAGAATTTAGAACAAGACAGTATAAGAACCATTACAGCTTTTGTCTTGTTATTTTGTTCTTATTTTGTGGTTGGTACTCAGGGCCATGTGCTAACTAGGCAAGCATGCTACCACTTCACTTGAGCCACACCACTGGTCTTTTGCTTTTATGTTGTTTTTGAGATGGGATTGCACTTATTCTCTCTCTCTTCTCTCTGTCTCTCTCCCCCCTCCCCCCATCTTTTGGCCTGGACTGGCCTCAGATGGAGATGATCCCAAGTATTTGGGATTATAGGATTGATCCACCACACCTGACTTATTTTTAGATATAGGATCTCACTGACTTTTGCTTGGGCTGACCTCAAAACACAAACCTTCCATCTATTCATCCACAGTAGCATCCACAGTAGCTGGGATTATAAGCATGTGCCACTCATTAGAGCTTTTAAAATTTCTCAAGTTATCTTTTCAAGAGAAATGATTTATTGGAAACTTTAAAAATGGGAAACATTTAGGAGTGTGTAGATGAAAGGGTTAGGGATGTAGCTCAGTGGTAGAGTGCTTGCCCAGCATGCATGAAGGTCCTGCGTGTGATCCAGCACCACACAAAAATGATATCCAGTGAGACTTATGGTATCTGCCACGAAAAAGAGCCTGAGATGGCTGCTGGAGCAGAGCACGTGTGTGGAAGCAAAATAAAGAGAAAGGCCTCTGCTTTAATTCTGTGCTACTCTTCACCTACAGTGCAGTGGGTTTTATAAATAAGTTATAGATTATGGAATGTGTGGTCAGCAAGTCAAGTGATGTTCTAAAAGAAATGGTAAATGAATGAGCGGGAAAAAGAATCCAATTATACCATAGGGTTGTCTGAATTGTGGTTTTGTTTTGTCTCTTTACAGGACTGGGGTTTGAACTAAGGACCTTGCACTTGCTAGGCAGGCACTCTGTAACTTGAACCACCCACCCAGATTGCATTTTAAAATGTAATATGTTTTATATACAAAATGAAGCAGAAGTACACAAATGTTAAAATAGTGGTGTGGAATAAGGAACATGGTTTGGAATTTTATCTTTTTATTTTTGCTGTTTGCATTTCTTTGTTTTCTAGTTTTATTTTCCAATGAAAATGTCTTGTGTGTTCAGAAAATTAGGTAATGCTGTTAAACAAAGTATTTTTGTTTCTAATAGATAGTGCTTGATTTAGGGCCACTGAAAGAAATGCACAACTAACTACCCTGGGTGCTTCTACTTCAAAGACTGGCAGATAAAGTAAAATAGCATCCATGCATTTGGCAAATACATATCCAAAAGGAACTATAGGAATGTAGTGTTTATTTTTTAAATTGTAAATAATACACCATGTATCATGTCCTCCCCTTAACTTGTGTCCTCGTATGTGTTGTCCTGTTCAGCACTAAGGTAAGCCCAAGACTACTGAATAGAGTTGATTTGAATATTTAGTATAAATCTGACTTTGAGAGCCAAGTGTGAGAAATTGTCCTGAAATGAGTCCTAGCTACCAGCAACCTGAGAGATTTTTAATCTATGGAGACTCATGAGGGATTGTGCAGATATTACTGTGGTAGCCTTCTTGGCTAGGCCTCTTGCAGGATACCCTGGCCACCTCAATCCAGTGTTCCACCAGGCTTGATCTGAGTCCTCATGCTCTGGTCTCCCAGGGAGGTTGTGATGACAGAGGAAACCATGGCGTCAAACTGATTGATGGTGGTGCGGGTGGTGGGTGCTAGGTAATTCTTGCGCTTTATGTCCCACTGACCAGATGGAGTCTGGGCAGTAGTAGGGCACCACCTTTTTGAGCAGCACTTCTGCTTGAATTACACGTGGACAGAGACTGGGGTAGACCAGTTACAAACATGTGACACATCTTTGTCACATGCATGTAGGTTTGTTACACAAACACGTACAATTAATCCAGCACTCAGTGGATGACCACAGTCACTGCAGGGTTCACTCACTGCTTCCTTTCCTGAAGGTGCTGGTTCCTCAGAGGATTGGTCTCCAGAAAGCAGTTTTCACTTAGTGCTTCCCTGTCCTAGAAGCACAGAAGAGACACAGGGGCCTTGAACACATGAGCCCAATCGCAGCCTCGTCACCAGCTCCTGCCTTTCCTTGGTGCCTAGGATCAAGACATAGATGACCTCATTTGTCACCTGTGCCAGGATTTCAGAATCAAGGGTGAGTCATGAGATAGCTGCCCACACTCCTTTTATGAGTGGGACAAGGAGAATCCACATCAAGGTATTGTGTAGGCAGGTTAGCAATGGGTGTTGGAATTCCAGGAAAGGAGGCTAAGTGTATGACTAGCAACTGGGTAGCTCTTTGAGAGGGAAAAGAGAAGTTGTGGTCACCTTGGGGAGACCCTGGGATTAGGATGAATGTGTGTGCATGTATTTTTGCCTCAGTGTGTGCATCTATGTGTGGGTATAATCACGCATGTGCACATGAACTTCTGTGACAGCATTTGTACTTATCTGCATCTGTTTGCAAATGTGTAAGTGTCTCTGTGTGCACATGAATTTGTGTTCATATAAGCCATTGTGAGTCTGTGTGTATTTGTCTCTGTGTACACACTTTTGATTTTCTCTAGATAAAGCCAATGAACTCAAGTCTATGTTAACTTGGGGTTCTCTGGTTTTGCTTAGAGTCCGTGTATGGCTATCTAGTCCAGCCTGGATATGAACTTTGATACTCCCAGCCTCATCCTCCCTAGTTTTGAAATTATAGTTGTGCAACACCACATCCAATCTATATTCCATTCTTATTGCTTCCCTTCTTCTAAATTTCCCAACGCTCATTTAGTGCATTACCTACATGAATGAACTGCCTCAAAGTGTCACAGGAAATACAGGTACTAGACATGATGAAAAACTGATGACTTCCTGGGAATTAGATGCTAGGATGATCCCCAGGGAGCAATCAGGAAGACTGGGAAGGTCCTGAGATCCCTAATGCTCTGCTGAGAGTCACATACTGGTTTAATTAATGAGGGGCCATCTCTGACCCCAGCTCTGTGTCCTCAATATTGGAACAGTGATGGTACCCAGACCACTGGGGTGGCTGTGTGAGTCAGCTATTGCCAACCTATGACCTAGACTTGGGGGTGGGGTGCAACATCCTACTAGACCTTGGGGAGGGCTTGTCTGAAGAAGAGTTTCAGTTGTGAGTACACCAGAGAAGCCCTCACTTTCTGGATGATGGACCATAGAATGTTGAACCCTGATGACCAGATGCCCACATTCCAAACAAACTGTAGCCAGATCATTTTTCTGAGACCATGTAGATAAAAGAACACTCTCTTGCTGTCTCCCTGTGTGGAGGTTCAGGCTGCAAGAGAGCCCAGAGTGGAGGCATAGACCATATCAAGTGATACTGGGTCAACCCTCAACCAAGATGCTTCTGGAAATTTACCAAAGGACCTCAAAGAGGACACAGAGCAGGCCAGGGCAGGCAATGGTAGGTCACCTCAACCACTTTGATCCCCACAGATAACACCAGCGTGTGTGTGGTGTGTTTGTGTGTGTAATACTCGTAGTGTCACAGTGTATTAATTTCTTTGCTCTTTCTAATAAATTCTCATACTACATACTATTTCATATTCATTGAGCATATCCACTCTTTAGGCATGCATAAGACTCCTTGAATCAAAATCTCTCTTTAACACTGTGGGAATGGATGGAATGCACCAGGGTGTCCTGTTGCTCAGTGACTTCTGGTCTTGTTCAAGTGGCTATTCAGTAGATAGAAGTTAAGAAATTCATTTACTAGATAAC